GCGCGTCTGGGCTGGCGCTCGCTGAATACACAGTAGATCAGCTGGCGGAAGGGACCCTGAGCAGCCTGCTAGTGTCTGGGAGATGCCCATTCTAGGAGCGCGGCTTTTAGAGTTAACCACCGCAAAGCCTTTTGGGCTGTGTCTACACTGGCATGAATTTCCGGAAATGCTTAAAACAGAATACTATTCCGTTTTCAGTTTTTCCGGAAAAGGAGCGTCTACATTGGCAGGCTGCTTTTCCGGAAAAGAGCCCCGATCGCCATTTTCGCGATCGGGGCTTTTTTCTGGAAAAGACTACTGGGCTGTCTACATTGGCCCTTTTCCGGAACAGTGTTCCGGAATAAGGACTTATGCCCGAGCGGGAGCAGAATAGTTTTTCCGGAATAGCGGCTGATTTTGTACAGTAGAGCATCGTTGCTTTTCCGGAAATTCAAGGGCCAGTGTAGACAGCTTGCAGCTTATTCCGGAAAAGCGGCTGATTTTCCGGAATAAGTGGCCCAGTGTAGACACAGCCTTAGAGTAAGGCACTTGACAGTCAATGATCCTGTTTCCTGCAAAATCTTGAGTGGAAGGCAATTCTGTGAGCGCACCTCTTGAAATTGTTTAGGGAGGGCTGTAGGTATCCGAGGCCAACCATGAAAGACAAATATTTAAACTTAAAGAAACGTACGTGTCGATAATTTGGGAATTTAGGCATTTAAAAAGAATCTAATTGGGGTTAGTTATCTTAAATAAACGTACATTTTATTTTCATTTTCAGTGTTTTAAAGTGATGTGGTTGCACAGTTCAGTGTCAGAAGTGCATACATATATCTGAACTATATTGTGTGCTGTACACAATAAAGGAAAATCTTTCTGCTGTTTAAACATCAGCAGAGAGCTTGCACATCTGTTTTTGGAAAAGGATAACAAAACTGTTTTGTATTGTTAAACATGATGTGCCCAATTTATCTGTGGTGTGTAACTTCATTAATATCAGAATTAATTTATTCAGCATGTGTATTACCTCTGCTCAGATGAGAAGCAAACACAGGTTGGCAGGCAACAAAAGTTTTGGTTTAGAGGTCTTGAGCTGTGTATAAGAAACACACTGTTAACAGTGCTATTAATAGATATTCAGTACATACAAGCACATATAAACAACAAAGGACTAGGTTTGAAAGAACATAATTAAAATAAAACAATTTAAAAAGTCCTCTAAAAACAAATAATTTGCAATATTAATACCTAGTATTGTAATCTCCTCTACAATATTTCAAATGTATAAATTCTATTTTTTGTGTCAAGCAGCTGCCAAAATCTTTTTAGTTGAACTGAATTTTCCAGAAATTGAAACTACTTTTGTATGTGGTAGGGAAGTAAGCGACTAGTCAACTGTCCAATAAGCAAAAGCTTATTGGATAGTCAACACACCAGTCGACTAGTCACTTCTTTCCCCCCCTCCCCCACCTTGCTGCCTTCATCTCAAAAAGGCAACAAAGGGGGGGGGGGGGAGAAGAGGCAGGGGTACTGGAGGGAGCCAGTTTCCTCCAGCTCCATGGGAGGGTAAAGGGGCATAGCGGTGGCATTTTAACTTTGAAATGTACAAGAGTCCCCTGCTGGCTCCAGGTTACATGTGATGCTTCTGCTTTGAAATGTACAAGAGCCCCAGCATGGGCTCTTGTACATTTCAAATATTGAAATGCCTTCTGGGGCTCGTGTACATTTCAAAGTGGAAGCTCCCCCTTGGAGCCTGGGGTCAGCGGGGCTCTGTATGGTGCCTGGCATTTCAATCTCTGAAATGCACAAGAGCCCCTGCTGGTCGCACTAGTCCCATCCCCTATTTGGTTAGTTAATCAAAATTTAACATCCCTAGTATGTGGATATTGTATCTTTATTTCCTGATGCTGATTTGATGGACAAGCTATAGTAAGAGTCAAATACTGAAGTAGTATCACTGTTCAGAGACTACTTAAAGCCGTGAACTGTTCAATTCTCAATGTTGTTGCCATATTTGATTTGGGTCTTCTATCAGTTCTTACTGCTGATTTAAATATTTTGCCGTACAATAGCAAGTTAATGTTCTTAACCCCGCTTCTCTTCACTGTGTGAAATCTTGGACCTGTTGAAGTCAATCAGAAAAGTTAAATTGACTTCATTAGAGAAAGGCTTATACCTCTGGACTTGGAAATGACCGTGAAATCTGTGGATTTAAATGAACTTAGCATTAAATTCAGTGGCAATTAAAAGGATTGTTGGGAGTTAAGAATTATTTCCTACAAGGTTATGTACTTATTGCATTAGGTTTTATTGTCCCTTTTATGAAACATTTTGTATGAGGAAAGAACACACAAAGTAAGAACCCTCATTAGATGGTTGTCTCTTCTACTGCTTTAGTTCAGCTCATAGCATAGCATAGGTGTTGGGAAGCAATGAACAAGATTTTATTATGCTTTCAGCAGGTTGAACTGCCATTTGGTTTTTGCTTGTAAAACAAACACATAAAGACAGTATGCAACCTCGATGGAGCAGATATTAAAATGCATCTCTTCTCACAGAATGTTCCAATCTCCAATCTTAGAGCTATTCTAAGTAGGAATGTAATAGTGTGGTAGATTAACCGATGAGAACAAGTTTTTCAGTTAATGCTATAAACTACATGCATTTCCTCTCCTACCCCTTGCCAGTACATTTTTTTAGCAGGCTGGCCAGCAGCCTAGTTCAGTCCTGGCTTATGCCAGGTCCGGGACTTACCCATGCTCCGGCTCATTTAAAGTGTTTTGGGAGCCAGGCAGCCTGGCTCAGTTCCAGCTCGTGCCAGATCCAGGAGTTCAGCCCCCACTGGAAAGGGGCTGCTGCCACCCCACTCAGGGTGGCAGGGTCGCAAGGGGAGCTGATTTTTAAACCAGCATGCCATGCAATAGGGCAGAATGGCAGGGGGCTCTTCTGGCATGGGGCCAGAGCACACTGGCTACCAGCCCTCTGGGGACTATAGAATAGTTGAGTAACCAATAAGAATTCATGAGGCTTATCGAGTACTCAATTAATCAATATTAACATCCCTAATTCTAAGATGGGATTCTATGGCATCTTCAGGCAATCTGTTCCCATTTCTGATAGCACAATAGAATTTTCCCCTTTCCTATGTACCTGATCTTATGCCTGTTGAAGTCAATAGCAAAATTCCCATTAATTTCAGTTGTGCAGGACCAGTATGTTGGTATTCATTTGTTTTCCTCTAAACTGGGGTGGGGAACATAAGGTCCAAGAGCTGGATGTGGCCCTCAGCTTGCCTGGATCCGGATCCTGACACTCAGGCCTGCCCCCAGCATTGGGGATCCTGTGCTAGTACTCTAGCCCCACCACCATTTCCCTGCAGAGCTGGACCACACAAAATCTACTAGGCTGGGCCTCCCTAGGCTCTGGTTTGCTAGGGGAATGTGGGGAGTGTCTATCTCCCCAAAGGTCATGTCAGGTTGTTTTTTTCCTTTTTGCTTCTCACCTGTGTGTGACCCCTACTAACTTTTTTCTATGGGTCAGCGTCCCCTGACTCTAAAAGGTTCCCTGCCCCCTGCTCTAAACCCTATAGTAGAGGGGATTGTATGGCCCAGTGTCCACAATTCCTTAGATTTTATTATTTTGTAGCTAGTTTATCATTAACATTTTTCACGTATGTATTAATGAAAAACTCTAATCGAAAATATTTAGTTTTCAGAACTGGTAAGCTCTGTGAGCTGAATTATGTAACTTTTTAAAAGGGGAGAGGGAGACTAATATTGTAATGGTATGTATTATCATAATTTCGAATCAATAAATAGAACAAACATTAATAGTATTAAATTGAATATACATTAAAAATTGTTTTTATTATTTCATTTTAGTAACATTGCATCTGAGAAATGGAAAATGACATTTATCAAGTTTATGAAGATGAAATTCATTCTCTGGAAGAAGAAATTGAAATGCTAACTCAAAAGTTTGAAAATAATGAACAAGAATCTACGTTTTATTCTGATGAAGAGATACAAGTATCAGGGTATGCATTTTATATGTTCAGTTTTATCGTGGTTTATTGAATTTATGTTTAGCATTGTTGTTTAGGTTTAAATGTTCATCCACATTAATGTTGTTTTATAAATAAAACCTTTTAACAATACATGCATCAGAAGTATTGATTTAGTTGTGGCTAAAATGTAGCCTTCAGAAGTTTACAATGTGGCTTGAAGCTATCTACTTTAAAATAGAGGTACAACCTGAGGAGGTTGCAGATTCTATCATGCACTACTCTGTTGTGTACACTCTGTTGCATGCTGCATCTTTATATTAAAGCTGAGGCTAATAGATTTCTATATCAAATTTGATGTGGCTGTTGGGAATCTAACAAGTTGTTAATACTTTAAAAGTTGTCTCGGTGTCCTTGTGATTGCTAATCGATCTTTTCAATTCTAGAAAATCACACCAAGGAGATTCTAAATGGCATGAATCTCCACCAGATCTGAAACCTGAACTTGAATGTTTAAAATCTGACCTTTCTTTTTTAATGAAATTTACTGGCATTTGGTTCACAAACTACTCCAAGGAAACAGTGGAAAAAAGTAAGCATTTGTGTGGATGTTAGTAACATTATTGCTGCATTTTATCACAGTTTGCAGTTGCAGACTATAATTCAGAATTCAACATTTGCAGAAAGAAATTTGTGCTCTGAAATGACGAAACACTAACACAGTAATATCTGGTAAATGGGATTTTGTGATGTTTATACATGCTGCCAAATAATTCTTGGTTTTCCTCTCAATGTCACTGCAAGGTTATAACAGAAGACAAAATGTTGCCAATGTATATGTAGCTGGACATATGCTAAAGATCTGATCTGAATTTCTAATCTCTTTGTAGTAATAGAGTTTCACTTAAATGGTTAATTGAATGATTATATTGGGTGACATATATTGCTCACTCTTCAAGTTTCTAGCTTAATATTGTTTTTGTTAAAGGAGAGATGGAATAATTATTGAATATGATCAGAAATCTAAAATATTTTTAACCTACTTCTATTATAGCTGGAAACAAAATTATACAGAAGCACAGATTATCAGGAAATTGCTGTTCACTGCCTTTTCAGATGGAATTTCAACTTCTAGAAATACAGGTAATGACAAGATATTTATACTGGGCGGGGCGGGAAGATCCAAATGGTTATAGATGTGTATTTGCCATGAGAGAAGAAAAACTGATCTTGGAATTGGTACTGTCAAAGTTTTGGCTGAGGGTCCCTTGTTGACATCTGTTTGAAGTGGGTCCACCTTTGGCTCCTATATGTATCAAACCTAGTTGGAGCTGTACAAAGTCTAATCACTGCTTCCATTTGTGGTGGAAGATGGGGTGAGGAACCTTTTTTGGGTCAGGGACCACTGACTCACTGAAAGAAAAATCAGTTGGGGGCCGCACACAAGTGAGAAGCCGGTGCTTGACTGAGACGGAGAAAGACACTCCCCGCGTTCCCCTTGCATCCCCCTTGAGTCTAGGGGGCCCTGCCTAGTAGACTTTGTGTGCTCCAGATCCGTGGATAATCAATTGAAAATCAATCAATTTGCTGCCACTGCCTCAGGCATCAATTCACCTTCTATTCTCTGCTTGTGGCATTTGATAGTTTAGTCTCCTATGAGATGTAATACTTGGGTCTAATTTTGGTTGCTGGATTTAGTATGCAGATGCTGGGTGGTGGTATGGCCTGTAATAAACAGGAGGTCAGGTAGATGCTCTGGTGATTCTTTCTGTATTTAAATAAACTCTATACTTATTTTTCCAAACTTTTGGCATATTATATCATTGTTTGTTACTGTCTTCAGTGACAGTAATAGTATATAAGTGCCATTAACATTAATCAAGTATAAGCGCACACATAGTTTTTTTTTTCCCTTATGATGTTTTCTTTAGAGAGTTACACTATTGTAATTATAGAAAACTTAGTGTGTTTATTTCTCTAAGCATTAGATATCAGACAAGGAGTTATTGTTTTGGCATTTTTTGCTGTTGTATTTTTGCTGATGCTCCCATGGCTTTATTTTTTGCTGAGTACTTACAGTTATTTTCACTTAATAAACATAGCTATGAACATATACAAGAAATATTGTTTAAGGCTACTTGAAGAAAAATACTAATTAGTTTTGAAAGATTCAGTCAAAAATAATTATAAGGAATTGAGTTTTGATAATTTGGAACATGGAAGAAAAAATGAAAGTTCATTAAATAGAAAACTAGTCACTCAGTTTTCCGTGAGATGAAGAGTGATTATGCCACAATGTGGTTGTGAGGAAATGGTTTCTTACGAAGTCCTGATGTATACTTACATGAAGTAGTAACAAATACCTAGTCTTTTTGATGCACTTTTGAAACCAGCATAGTATATACAGATTCTGTAGAATCAAAGCTTTCGTTAAAAAGAAAAATAAGGATTTAGCATTCATGTTTACAAGTTACGTTTTCAACTGCAAAGTGAGAATAACTGATGCACACTAGTGTTGTCCTCAGTAGGGATGTAAGCGACTAGTTGACTGTCCGATAAGCATAAGATTATTGAATAGTTGAGTAAGTTACTTGACTAGTTGCTTTTGCGCCCCCCCCCCCCCCCCCGCACTGCCTCTATCAGAGAGGCAGCAAGGCAGGGGAGCAGGAGCCAGTGCTGGGGGGTAGGTGGCTTAAAAGCCAGTTACCTTGATGACCTCTTGAGATCTCTTCCAGTTGTATGATACCTCCAGCACCATCTTAGTGGAGGACAGGGGAGGAAGAGGCACAGTGGGGCAACAGTGTGAGTGGGGCCTGAAGCAGTCCTCGCTTGTGCCATTTCTCCTATGTGTCTCTACCTCCCTGCCCCTGTGGCAGCAAGGATGGGGAACAGGAGCTGGTACTGGAGGATAGGAGGGATAAGAGAGGCTGCTGCGAAGTAGCTCCTGTCTGCACGGGTCCCAGAGGGGAGCTGATGCGCCCTGTGTCTAGAGGCTGCTTGCTGCTGCCAAACAGCCCCCGTTCGGGGCAGTCAGGGCTGCTCCATCAGTAGCCCTTGTCCTCAGCCAGCCCTGGCTGCTGTGAACAGCTGTTTGCAGTGCTCATGGCTGTCCACAGCAAACAGGGGCTGCTGGACTCAGTGCAAACCAGGACCGAGCAGTTCCAGCTAACACTGGTCCGGGATGCTGCGCCTCAACATTTTAAATGCAGAGCCGCAGCATGGCTGACTCCCAGAGCTGGAATGAGTCAGGACTGCTCTCCTCTCCTATCGACTAACCGTATAGTGGATAAAAATTGTATTGACCATATGATTAGCTAGGTAACTGTAATTTAACATCCTTATTCCTCAGTTTGCAGACCGTGTGAAATGATACTGTATGTCAAGATCTTCTTTGCCCCCGTTAGTTTCCTTAGAATATTGCACAATAATGATTTACATGTTGTTAATGATTTAACTGCCATTTATTCTGTCAGAAGAGATGGGGAAGTGATGGATGAGAATGAAGCACACCAGGAGAGAGGGAGAGGGAGAGTGTGTGCTAGGAAAAAAAGTAATAGAGATGTAGCCGTGTTAGTCTGGTCTCAACAGTGTCCGTCTTCTATGTATATTGGACAGACTTATCAGACTCTTCACCAAAGAATTAATGCCCACAAATCAGACAGACAGTTTCACAAAGGAAAAACAGTTTCTTGTCATTTCAACCAGACTGGGCATTGTCTCAACGACCTCACTACATGTATCTTACTACAAAGAGACTTTAACACCAGACTACAAAGGGAAACCTCAGAACTGTCATTCATGTTTCAATTTGACACTTTAGGAATGGGCCTTAACAAAGATGCTAACTACCTTACCCATTACAAAGATAGCTTTCCCAATTATCACCCCTAATATCATTATTTCATAGACACTACCTCCCCCCTCCCTCTGTTCTAAAATCTGATTTGTCAATTTTATATGTGTTCACATTTTTTTGATTGTATCCCTTTGATATATATGGTCATGCCAATTTTCTTCCACAATTTGATCTTAGGAAGTGGGTCTGGCCCACAAAAGCTCAGCACCTTAATAAACCATCTTGTTAGTCTTTAAAGTGCTGCATAGTCCTGTCTTTTGTTTCAGGAAAAAGAAAGATATTCAAGACAAAATAGCTGTGGTTCTGAGCAGAAAGTATTTTCCCACTGAACAAATGCTGAATGCTGTTGAACAAAGAATAATAAATATCCGAAAGTTGAATCGCCATATAAAGACTGTATTCTGCTTTTGATGTTTGATCAATCATTCCATGGATATCACTGGATTATGAATTTATAGTAAAGTGTAATCCTAAATTTTTGAAGTAGCATATGAGTTTATAAATGAGTTAGGACTCCCAAATTCATGATACGATTTTTTTTAAATTGGGTTCTCTTTATTTTTCTTTCTGTTTCTTAATCTTTAGAATGTACTTGTTCTGTTTTAAGCTTGCCTCCTCAGCCATGAAAATTATAAGCTTAACTTTATTCAGGTGTGGGGAACCTTTTTCGGGTCGGGGCCACTGACTCACAGAAAAATCAGTCAAGGGCCACACACAAGTGAGAAGCCCCCAGACATGAAGTTCCTCACCTCTGAAAAAGAAAGCAGATATTTTCATTTAACCCTAGAAGTTCAAGATTTATACCTCTAAGAAAAATATCATGGAAGTCATGACAAAATCATAAAAGTTAGCAACACTATATCTGTCTCCCTCCAAAAATGGGTATGACCTAGTGCCTTAATGGGTAGAAAAACTCAGAATGTATATAATCTCAGAGTAAATTTAAGAAAAAATGTGCACATATTTTGTAACATAACTCTGCATATTAATGAGATGTTATTAATCAGGTTCTGCTGGAAAGGCATATATTAATCTCCTGACACTTGGCTAGGCCTGAGCAATGCCTTATTCACCCTAAATTAAAAGCAAATATGTTTGCAGAATTTAAGAAAGTGCATCTAATTGTTCTTGAGCTACAGATAATTAAAATCTGATTAGAAACGTATTGTCTAACATTTTCCGCTTAGTTCAAAAATAGCTTGGTTTGCCCTCTTCAGACTTCAGGTATCAGCAGATCATGACCTTAATTCTGCAAGCACCAATCACGTGTGTAACTGTACTATAAATGTAGGACAATCCTACAAAACTACTCAGCTGAGCAGTCATCACTTGTGCAAAAAGACTCATTGAAGTCAACCGCACTATTCACCTTCGTTTCTTTCTACAGAATCTTCATCTCATTTATGAATTATGAAGTTGACATATTGAAGTGAAGGTTGACATTTCCAGTTAATAGTACAATAAACAAAAATCCACGTTGATTGTGCACTAAACTATTTAAATCTATGCCATTAGATGGCAGTATTTCACTATTTACTGGCTGATAATTCAATTTAAAAACTTCAGAGAGGTAGCCGATTTAGGGTACATCTAGACTACAGGCTTTTGTTGACAAAGGCTTTGTCGACAAAGAGCGTCTAGACTACAGCCAGTTCTGTTGACAAAGCAAGCTGCTTTGTTGACAGAGAGTCTAGATGCTCTCCTTTGAAAAAGCACAGTGTGGATGCAATAGCGCCTTTTGTTGACAGAACTCTGTTGACAAAAGGCGTTATTCCTCGTAGATTGAGGTTTACTGCCGTCGACAAAACTGCCATGTTCTGTCGACTTACTGTCGACAGAACTCTGCTGTAGTGTAGACGCAGGTATAGTTTTGTTGACAAAAATCCACTTTTGTCGACAAAACCCTGTAGTCTAGACACACCAGTCTGTAACAAGAAAAACTTAAAAAACAACAAATAGACTAGTAGCATCTTAAAGACTAACAAAACATGTAGATGGTGTCATGAGCTTTTGTGGTCATCTGAAGAAGTGGGTTGTGCCTATGAAAGCTCACGATACCAATTGAATTTAAATTTGGAATGTAAAAATTTGTTCAGAATTGTAACTGTAACCGCTAAAAAACCTAGCGGTTACATGTGCTATGGACCCTGCAGTAAAAAGCTTAAATAAGTTTTATACTGCATAGCCCACAGTGAAGCTTATCCAGGAGCAGGGCCAGCTGGGGCAGCTGTCAGCCCCGCTTCCAGGGAGGTAGCTTTGCTGCCACAGCGAAGCCACCTCCCTAGGG